TACCGCCCCCGTTGAGAACCAATGCTTTAAGCACTATGAAGGTAGACATTGGCCATAGCGCTCATTCATTATAGTGAAATATATCTCAATAAACAAACTAAGTTATATATAATAAATTTTATAAAGTAAGAGACTTATGTTAATTTTTTAGAAGAGGCTAAAAGAGAATGTGCATATATTTTATTTCTCTCAATATTTCAGAGGCTTTTTTGTTGTTGTTCAAAAAGTTCCACAAATTTTACATCTCTATTTCCAGGCTATTTTTAATTTTATGTAAGGTTCTGATTAGCTTCCAGACACTATTCTCCCCTCCTGTTTCCAAGGCTAACTGCCAAGTACAGTATCATGCACTGTTCTGTGTGTGTATGCATATATCTACAATAATCCTTGTGAAGCAGTAAGGTTTTGTCCTAAACAATTACTGTACTTCATGATATCTCTGAGTGTGTGCAAAATGCTTGATATACCAGCAAACCAATCTTGCTTATCAAAGGAGACTTTTCCAAGCTTATTTGCCATACAGAGGGGGAAGGAATGGGGTATTACAACATGTATGAAAGATTGATTAGTCACTTAGTAACTCTTTGGAACCCCCTCACCCACATGCACACACCCAATGCACAGCAATGGGTCAAAAACTGTCTTTGGCACCAGTGGAAAAAATATTATAAACTGAATGGTCATGGTGGGGTATTTAAGAAGGATTACTGTCACACGAAGGATAGCATTAGCCCTGACATCACATCTACACTCTCTGAATATACCCATTCACAACAAGCTTAAAAAACAGTTTTCTAACATACTTTTTCTACTTAAACTTAATTGCCACACAGGTGGATTCTGAAAGTTCTACCATGCAGAGAAAGAAGGGTTCTTTTCCACCTTCTAAAAACCACCTCCTTCATAGTAACAATCTTTTAGGCACAACCAAAATCTGCTTTGGAGGATCCCACAATCTTTCAAAGCAGATTTGGAAACCATGGAAGCCTGGGATGGCGGGGGGGGGGGGGGTAAGTAACTGACTTACAGTTTTTGATGTAACTCAAGTGCTAATAGATCAAACAGATTAAATATTTCCCAAAGTATACACGTCATCACCTTCAGTATCCCTAACAATGGATTCCATACACAAAAAGCACAAAAGCAAAGAAAGTGCAGTACTATATATGTACAGCCTTTTCTTGGAGGAAGAACAGGAATAAGAAATCTAAGCCAGACAATAAAAATAAACAAATGATAGATGCTTTTAAAGGGCATCACATTTTGATCTGAGAAGGCTGCCATGAAAAGTATCACATAATTTTTCTGCATCCTCCAAACTGGTGCTGGTTTGCTACATCAGTCTGTTTCTAATATTCTATATTAGCATGTGTTCCATCATATTTTAAGTATATGTAAACAACATTTACTAGAACGTTTGTTACTGGAACGTTTATTATAGCCATTAAGAGTGAAATATCCATTCAAATTCTTCTAGACCAGTTTTTATGCATTAAAGGAAATTGTCTCCAATGTGGAAATACCTTCATAGTGAACAGCTTAATCAATATCACATAGGCTTGAATATAAAATTTCTGTATCAGTGTACTCTGTTCAACAGTATTCTTCCATTTGTAGCTACCACAAATTCCTCCAATTTCCCCAAACATTTGGAGGAAGTTATATATCTACAATGAAAGAATGGCAGGAAATTAACTGCTATGACAATAAAATCTGATTTCAGACCTTTACCAAAATCTGGATTGAGTCACAATTTCCTAACATCACTAACTGGTTGCTGCATTTCCTTGCATATGCAAAAGAACCCCACCTGACTATTGATGTTGCAAACAGCAGAGAATTGTTATTCTATGTGTCTACTCCAAAATTAAACTGTACAAAAAGCAATATTACAAAGTATTCTGGAATGAGGAAAGACAATTCCATTCCCATCTAATTTTATTCATAATGAAGGCCTCTGAAAATGAGGTAACCCTCCCAGCATAACATTTCAAAAGAATGGGACAAGCCAAGCCAGTCTTAAGACAAAAATAATTCTGAAGGTCTTTTCTCTAAATTTTACAGCATCAGTACTGTAGTTACAACCTAATTTTCTTCCTTTGGCTGCTAGCTGTAACAGACATATGTTATAATTTTTATTAGAACTCCGGGACATGGAAATCTTAAATTTCCTAATGAAATATGAAAAGAAACTATATTAAAAAAATGGATGCTATTTTCATAATGCACAATATCAATTTTAATTTTCTCTTCTCCATTAATCACCAAGATAAAAACAGTATTTTGAAAAGCCCAGTACTGGATTGCAGGAAGAAACAGAGTGGAATTGAAACAAATCAGGTTGAATTACCCATTTCCTAATAACAGAATTTCAAACAATTATCTTGAGGATAAATCTAAGAAGAAGAAAAATGTTTCCACAGGAAAATCTGAATACACAATATTGTATTATTTGTATGTTTGCCCAGAGGTAACGGTCAACATTTTCCATTCATTTGCTTCCTGTAACAATAATAATATGGGGTTTATAATAAAAGGGGCTTTTATACCCACTGCATGTTTTAAAGAATACAAGGCAGCATACTATACCAGAAAAACACCCATACAGGTGGAAGTTACAGGTACCAACAAATCTGGTCAAGAGAGTGAGAGGGGGGAAGAAAATGTGCATTTGCATCAGCATTGTAGAGCTGAAGAAATTTAACAACTTTTCAGCATGGAGGAAATCAAACCCTTGCTGGATGTCGAAGAAGGAATCCTAAGCAGAGTCTGATGCCAGAAACATTTCCTACCTCCAATACCAGAATCAAGTCAAAGAGTTTTTTTACATTGTTGCTCTCAAGACCATTTTTTTTCCTCCACCCTCCCGTTCTTTTTTCCTCCTATCTCTCCACTGGGTGTTTTAATGGTCTTGATAATTCATGTGGTCGTTTGAGAGACCTGAAGCACAGGCAACCTAATCCACAAGTTCCTGCTGTGAGCTGCCTGGCGGGTGTGCGTCACAGCACCCACCCTCTTCCCCGGATTGTACAACACGGGCATTTCACACCCCACGAACTTTCACCAGATGTGGGGGAGGGAGGGACCAGAGCCAGCCCCGAGCGCTCTCGGCGGGTCACAAAACCACTCACACACAGAAAAGCCTGTGACGACGATCTCCCTCACCCAACCCACCAGGGAGGATGGGGTGGCCCACGTCCGGCTGTTCACCCGTGGGGTTTAGGAGATCCCACATCCAGCAGGAACTGGGCGGGAAGAAATACGCCCCGATTCCGATGGCTGCGACCCTCCCAAGCGGGCAGCCACGCGGAGCAGGTTTTCAGTTCACACGTTCGCTCGCCCGCCCACAGCCCTCCAAAAGGTTTGGTTGGTCCGCTGCCGCCACCCTCTTCCGACCCTTCTGCCCCGTCCAGGAGCGGGAAGCGCCTTCGCCACAAATCAGAGAAAGCCGCCGCGCGGCACCGCCTTTCCTCTCCCCAGCCTCACCTGCAAGACACGGAGATCTCCACCCGAGTGGCCGGGACGTTGGCGCTGACCGGGTTAAAATCCCCCACGGACGCCATATTCCCGTATCGCTCCAGCTTGGGCAGCTGCCCCAACAGTTTTTCCGGACCGAACATGTGGGGCCAAAGGCGGGGCGAGGCAGAGGGGGAAGAGGTGGCGCTAACGGAATTTAGCGGGCAGGCACGGAGCGCGCGAGGGGCGGGGGCACAGAGCGGGCGAGCGGAGCGGCTGGCGGGCGGC